TTCATTTTTATTTCAGTTAATTTTAATTTTTCCGTCTTTTCTGGTTATGGTTATGTATGCTAATGAATTTAAAACAAAGGAAAACCAAAAATTTTGAAATTAAAAATTAACTGCAACATATTCACTAACATGTAACTCACCTAAATGTCACCTTTTTCTCCTTAAGTCGCCTTAAATCGCCTTAAGTCGTGCAGCATTTTGACCAAATTTTCCTAAAGTCGCCTAAAATTACGGCGACTTAAGGTCCCAGAGTAGGCCTGATTGAAGTTACAATAAATGGTGCATGATGCCTGATACGATTGGCACTGATCGATGTATCAACTCATGATAACAATTGACCTTTTCTGCTTGTATGTTTTGTTTCCCCATTTAAGTGATGGTACTTCAGAGAACTGTCTCTTTCAAATTTTGTCCTGTGCGCGTACATCCACGTGCATAAGTTTTCACAATTTATGAAAGGACAAAACACAAATTCCCTGGAGAACATCACGTGGTCTGAATTAATAAAACAAACCATACAAAAGCAAGCTAAATACAGCCTGTACAGAAGGCGCTTGGAGGCAATGGGCGCGTGCTACGCAACATAAGCTGGAAAGGTCTGTTTGAATCTACATAACGTTATCCTGAAAGAGCTTAAGGTAACAAATATAACACATTAGCGAAAAACGTAACGTTTACAATCTCTTTAAAGGTATAACAATATGTAGCAAAAATAAAGAAAATAAGTAATGATAACGATCACGATATTGATGATGATGACGATAGTAAAAGTAAAATCCAGTTAAAACAGAAGAGTAAGATCAGATGATTAAGCTGCATGTTCAATGTGACTGGAAAGACGAACGTGTCGGTTTTTCACAATAACGACTATTGACCACCACAGAAAATGCCATAACATACCCATAGTGATCTTTGTTTGTTACCCCAAAGTTTCGCAGAAGCATTGTTTTCAGTTTCTTTGGGGGCCATTTGAACTCCCAAGGGATTGAATCTAAGAGAGAAAATGGCTTTCCCTGGGAACAAAGAAAACTGTCCGTAATTAACGATGGGTGTCCGTATAGCGGAATTCGAGTGACATAAAATGTATTTTATATTCTAATTCGCTACCCCGCTCAATCGAATATAAAACATACATCATGTAACAAGCAACCTCAGTTGGGGTGTGTCAACACGAGCCGTGTGCGACCCTCTTTATTATGCCTTCATCAACAGAATGGATGGAAATAATACAACAAACAGAATGAAAACTCGGAAATGTAAAAAATTACAGCAAGAAAAACAACCCTACAAAATGATCTAAACTACGCTCGTATAACAATGATTCAGTAAACATACAAAACGTGCTAAACCTTTCATATAGCAGTATGCAAAAAAACACTACGTCTAAGAGAAACCCGTGGTCACTGGGTATTTAAGTAATGGTTCAGATAAGAAGGAAAGGACCAAAACGCAGTGAACACGTCGGAATGCAAAAAGGTGCTAACTTTACTATTGTCTCTACTATGGTTCTGATTGGTTTAAACATCAAATTTTACGAAATCTTCGCAAAACAGCATGTATATTAATCCCTTTTTTTCTGTCCCACTTCCTTATAACAAATTCTCGTCTGAGTCTAAGTAACACAGAAATCGTATGTGCGGATCATGTAAAATTGTGAACATTTCTTGGCCATTGTTTGCAACTCTGGTGATTGGTCGAAATGTTTTAACACAAAAATACACCCTTTAAAAGTGGAGTTTAAATACATTTTCTTTCGTAAACTGCCTTTTTGTAGGTTTATGCATTCTCTGCGTAAAAATGAAAACATTTCTATTTGAGGAAAGCGTATTGCACTACAACAAAAGAAATTGCTTCCCTTCTTACCTGGATCATTACTTAATTTTGAGGGCGTAGGGACGGTCGTAAGACGCGAATGAATATAAATGAGAACAACTCAAATATATATAGCCTACCGCTAATGAAGCAACAGAACAGCATACCATGTAACACTCCAAAGAAAAGGTTACATAACCCATGATAAATACATTTGCCTATAAAGGCTTCTCTACAATTACACTAAATCGCATTCAAGGTAAAGGAAGAAGTAAAGGAAGTTCATATAGAACCTTCATGTGTACTTACCATTCTCGTCGACATCGTCGTAGTCATAACCGAACTCAAAAGACTTCTTAAACATCCGTTGATGAGTATACACAGGATAAATTGGTACAATGACGTCATCTTTGTTGTGTCCGATGGGTGAATTGTCGGTTGAAAGAACCGAAGCGTTCTTGTTGAACTTGCGAAGCCATTTCTCATAAATACGATCCACAGAGAAATGATGAAGAGGAAAGATTGAGTCGTTTGACACAGAAGATACATCCCCCATGTCTCCACCCACGACTATGTGAACGTGGTTACCGTATTTATTCGATTAACCGCCCTGGGCGCTTATTAAATTTTTGGACCTTGATAGTGGGCGCTTATTCGAGGTGGGCGCTTATTCGAGGCTGGGCGCTTATTAAATTTTTACCATTCTCAGCAAGTGAAGTATGTTTATTTTGCAACAAAACAATAAATGGTAGCAACAAAAAGCGAAGAAGTAACAAAGCAAGGTTTTTGTAAAATACTCTGAAGAAAACTCCGTCTTCGGGAGGGCCTCTTATTATCTTTTATTGGAGTTTGTGTGGGAGGGAGTGGGGTGGGGGTGGGCGCTTATTCGAGGCTGGGCGCTTATTAACTTTTTCTGCCTTTAGGATGGGCGCTTATTCGAGGTGGGCGCTAATTCGAGGTTGGGCGCTTATTCGAATAAATACGGTATATCAAAAGGTGTGGACATTTGGCAAACGATAACCGGTCTTTGTACTGGCGTAGCCTTCCAGGATATTTTTGGAATTGCAGCTTGACTCTTTGCCATAGGGTGGCAGGTCAAAAGTTTCAAACCGGAGAGCAAAGCTGACTTCTTCTTTGGTTGGAAATGTCATTGTATATCTCTGTTTTGTTACTTTTTCTTCCTTTTCCTTCTCAGTGCGTGATCTCTTCCAAAACAGGTTTCTTGTTCGTTGCGTCGTCACACATATTTGTCGGGAGATGGGTTTGCATTGTTCACTGGTGCAAATGACGTACCAGTTGTCAAAGTATTTGCCCTTCACAGTTCCACCAGCTTGGTTCGTTACAGCAAGAAGCTCTTCAGAACAAATAGCTGGCTCATATTGTGTTTCATGCTTTCCGAAGAAGGCATAGCAAAGTTTTCATCGATACCGATTCCTGCAAGGTTCTCTCCCAAGTCAACATGTACAGTCGATACCACTATTTATCAGACACAGGTCCGAATGTTTTTTAAAGCTCACTCCTTATAGGCATTTGAACAACCACTACTTTTCAGAAACAGGTCTGGATCAAAACACTTGGGACCATATTCATATATGATAAACACGGATTTAGACGGTTTTAATACGCTGTCAAAACGGGTATTTTCTCATTAGCGTTAGGTTGGATTGATGTGAGATGCAGTACAACAAGAAGTACAAGTAGCTATAGACGCTGCCGTAACATGCTTAACATCGTTTAGTTGGTTCCGTCAGTAAAAACTCTTTGCAATCTGCAGCGCCTTTCGTTTTTGTCGACACATGCGCTCTCCACATCAAGCTAAACCAAGCGACATTCATTTGAAAAAACTCAAGTTAAAATGTACCAATTTTGTCTCTTAACAATTAATTAAAAGTCTTTTAATTAACTGCAGACTCGCAGTGTTTTAGTCACTGAAGACTACCGGTAGCTTTTATCCTCAACGTGATATTTCCACCTTCAACCTTAATCCACTGTTTGAACGGGTAAACTTCCGCATTAATTGTCTTCGGGATTTCCTTAACAAACAAAGGCTACGTATTTTGCATAGGCGGGAGATGGGCTAGACTGTTTCAAAACAGCTTCTTAGTTTGCAAAGATCAAAGTATTGCTTTTAATAACTTTGTTCAGAAATTGTACAAGGCAAATGTTTTGTATCTTGATGAAATGAGAAAGCAAACATGTTCGGCAAAAACACTTCCGCTTTTACCTACTAACAATATGTCGAGTCTTGCCAAAACACAACGCACAACGACCATCAAAAGAAAGAAAAGATTGAACCTTGGACAAAAATAAGAATCGAACAGAAAGCACTAAATCCTCTGGTTAAGTTCGTCTGCAAAACAGCGCTGAAATCCTTGTTCAGGGCCCCACCTGTGTACCATGATTTGAGCACGCGCTATGATTGGCCAGTAACCTACTGAAAAAAGCCATTGCTAATTTGTCAATCAGGTGGAAGAGAACTGAATCGAAACGCATTTCCGGTAATTCGTTCAGTCCGCTGAGGGCTCAGAACAAGGATCTCGGCTTTGCTTCACAGACGTTACTAACCGGATTAAGATTACGTCTGCGACGCAGGCTACATTATCTACTCCTATCTTTGATTTATATTGCGGTCTACTTAGGCTGTATGACCTTCATAAGTTCAGGCATAAGAAAGCAATAATGAATATTAAAATGTAAGAATATATTATGTAAGTAACGTATTACATATGTAAAAATAGAGCTATTATTTTTCATTGTTGTTAGTCTAACGATCATAGAGATACTTAATTCACATCCGAAAATCCAGCCGTACTAAATCTTCAGGAACTGTTCAGTGCTATTTTTTACCAAATGTCCAGTAAGGGCTGTGCTCAGCCAGTGACCGGTGGTACCTGGCGCCTTAATCTTCCTCTTGGGCATAAAATGTTTTTTTTTCCTAAACATCATATTCTAGGCACCCTGAATTTCACAATCTTCACAGGCTCAAAGCACCGGGCCCTCTTCAATTTTCATATCACAGGCATCACAGGCATTCAGATAATGTGAAAGGCGCAAAGAAAAGTGCGCGCCACTCCCCACGATCTGAACGACTACTGGAACAGGCTGAGGGAACAGCTTTGCCAGTAAGTTATAAAACTTTCCAACAAACAGCAGATTATCAATGATTTGGTGTACCGTTGGTTCTAAAATTAAGATGACACATCGGCATCTTTCAGTTCATCGATTATCTCCTGCATGGTTGGTCTCGGCCCAGGATCTCTATGCAGGCATCGCCGTACCAGGCCGCGAAACACACCGTTCGTTACAAGCACGACTTGTTCTTCACGCTTACTAGGATCTGGAAGTTCCCGGATGCACATTTCACAAAGAAGAACACCAAAGCTGTACACATCAACCTAAAAGCAATCATAATACATGACATTACTTATTAGTTGTGTACTGATTACAAAAGGAGTTAAGGTAACACAAGTGGGAGGAACTCGAGAATTCAAAATAGATGATTATCGATAAATGGATAAGAAAAGCCTAGAAAACAGAAGATCCTTAAAAGGCTTCATGGTACGTTCTTGGCTTAAATGTTTTGTTTCTAAAAATACTAATTAACTTTTGCTAGCCCGTGACTGTTGTCTTTAGAGACAAGAAGGGATAAATTAAAGAATCCAATTACGTGGACCAAATCCATGAAGAAGATTTGCATAAAAGAGTGAAAAAAGTGCAGAACAAGGTTCAAAGACTCCTCACAAAGATATAGTCATTTCATATGTATTGTTTATGGAGTGGACATCACTTATCACTTCTGCCACTGTTAGCCTTGCTGTACAGTTTTAGTAGGTAAACAGTCTTGAATATTTACTTAAACTAACCTTGATTGTTTGGTTTGATGTAAGTGCTTCAGGTGCGCTGTAAATCATAGCTCCAGGAGCCACTGTCATGGTCTGCTGTATAAAATTAGCAGTGCCGTAATCAGACACTTTGGCCCTCCATTGGTCACCCTGTCGCCATAGCAACACATTCGCACTGCTGACGTCACGGTGAATGATAGGCTCTGGTTTCTTTCGATGAAGGTAGTTCAGGGCACGTGCTACATCCAGAGAAATGACGGCTATTTCTGTCTCGGAGAGTTGCCGGTGCTCCAATAAAGTGCGCAAAGTTTTCTCCATCAGCTCGGTCACGAACAGAGGAGTTCCCTCATCATTGGTGGCGCCGATGAACTGTAGTAAGTGAGGATGGCGGCATTTAGAAGCGATATTCATTCCTCTTTCAAACAGGTTTATATTATGAGGAGAAAGAATCAACTCATGGATCTGTTTCACTGCTACAGTACAGCCACAATACGTTCCCTCGTTGACAATTCCCCATCCTCCCCTCCCAAGGTATTTCTCTGTGATTTGAATTTCGTCCCGGGGAATAACCCAGTCACGTGTTTCCTGGTTCCGCAATTGATTTATTGTTTCCTGTGCTGTTGAAAGACTTAACTGTAGTTCAGAAACTTGTCCTCGGCAATTGGTCAACTGCTGTCCTATCTCCCTCAGTTGCCGCTGCAACTCCACCAGCTGCCTCTGGGAATTTTCTTCACGTTGTTGAAACTCCGTCAGCTGCCTCTGAGAATTTTCTTCACGTTGTTGAAACTCCCTCAGCTGCCTTTGAGAATTTTTTTCTCTTTCCTGAAGCTCTCTCAACAACCGCTGCATATTTTGTTCACGTTGTTGAAACTCCATCAGTTGCCTTTGAGAATTTTTTTCTCGTTCCTGAAGCTCTCTCAATAGCCGCTGCATATTTTGTTCATGTTGCTCAATATCCGTTAGGTGGCTTTGAGAGTCCTGATACCGTTCTTTAACCACTCTGAGTTTCCTTTGTAAATCCTGCTCGCGTTGCTGCATCTCCCGTTTCTGTCTCTGGAAGTTTTCCTCACGTCGCTGAAAATCCCTCCACTGACTTTCTATTTCTGAGGTTCGCCTTGGCGAATTTGCTTTGCGTAGATTTTGTTTTTTTTCTAAAAAGATAATTCATGATCAAAAATAAAACAAGGCAATCATGAAAATCACCTAAGTAACATGGGCAACCCGATTAAGTGTCACCTAAAAAAGAAAAATTAAAAATTTTGACTTCAAAGAAAATTTTAAATGTACTGCGTTCCTCTCTTTAAACTGAGCGACACATAAGCTTAAGAGATACTGATGAAGAAGATGAAAATCAGAATTTCGTTTCGCTCCGATTGTCACTAAATAATTATGGCTTGCTTGTAAACTCACACAAAATATTGAAATGTGTGTCCAAGAATAGCCCCTTCTTTGAACGAGCTCTCATTTTTTCGTTCAGATGAACCTTAAATCAGTCGATTTGATATCAAAACGTTTCGACACGATCCAGTCCGAAATTGAAATCACGCCCGCATTTTTACTTTAGCTGCTTATCCCATAGGACGTTGCATCTTTTACCGCGCAGCGGAAACAGTTTTTACCAACTGCCAATCTTAAGAGACCTTCAGGAACGAGAGAAAAATTCTCAAAGGCAACTGATGGAGTTTCAACAACGTGAACAAAATATGCAGCGGTTGTTGAGAGAGCTTCAGGAAAGAGAAAAAAATTCCTAATTCCTAATTCTGTTAGTGACATGTCCCCTCCCCTCTACTTTATCGGTCTTCCTTTGTGCGGGTAGTCTCTTCGATTTTCTTCGGTTTTCGCAGTTTAACAAGTGGTTTACGATTATATTTTTTGGAAAAGTTTGAGTAGACAGATGTAGCAAGCCGCAGTTCTTAAAACAATATGATTTATGTTTGTTTTCTATTGATATTGCTCTTTGGAATTCTTCATGCGCATAATCCCTTTGTTTAGTTAAGAGCTATTGTTTATGCTTTTCAGTCTACATTTTCTCAGTGTACAACGACCCCTGACCTCCAGTTTTAGCATAATCTATTAGTTTTGTTGTTCAAGTATCTGAAATGGTCGGCGGGCCCCGGCGGGCCCCGCCGTTTTAAGGGTCAAAATGCCACTTGAAGTTTACCTACGTGCGTGAATCGTGACTCCATTCCGCGGCATCTTTAGTATAATAAATATACTCGCGCGGTCACGATCGAATTGGCTTAGAAGGCTTTCACTACACGATCAGCTTAGAATACTTTCTTTCTTTCCTTTTTTATTCGTCTTAAAAAATATGATATGTTTTTGTGATATATATGTCATCGAAGCGGCCCTTAGGGCCTCCTTTTTGAATAGTTCTTTGGCTTCTTCCTTCTGCCCTTGTTTGCAAAGAGTTAAACTTGTGCGAGATTCTTCACGAGCCCTGATAAATCATACAAAAAACAACGGACAAATAAAACTGAATTCATACGGACTAAAATGAATAGAAAACCTCCGCTAACTTGCTGTTGAACAAGTTAGCGAAGGAGAATTCCACTTTTTGCCTTGCGCTCCAGCTTCTTCTGGAAAACCAGAATAGGTTGCACATTATTTTCGATGAGAAGATCAGTATCCTTCATGCACAGGTCAATGTACCTGGAAAAAATCTGAGGTGAGAAGAGCACTGAAGAGAAGTTTACGTTCAAAATCAAGCACTTTAACCACATGTAAGAACGAAGTGTTGATACGTACCGCGTTGCTTCGATCCCTAAAGTTATCTCTTCGACACAGAAAACAACAGTTTCGTGAAGCCAGCAGTAAACGTCGATTGCAGCCACCTTTCCGGAGAAAGATCTCAAATGAACATCGCATGTTATATCTTTTAAAAGAGGAAAAAGACCTATAATGCCCATATCACACTATTTCTCACGGTATTTTTATGTCGTAACGAGAGATGTGAACACAGCGAAGGTCAGATGCAAATGAGCCGTTTTTGATTCTTTCCCCATGATGCCGTTCGGACCGTGTCCAACACCGCCTGGCTCGCTCGGAGGAACTGGAGGTGAATCAGTGAATAGTGAAGGATATTCACTGATTGAGTGGCCAATCAGAGCGCGCGAAAAACACTATCCACTGTTTTAGTATATACTAAATATGGATATCTCACTCATCAATTATAAATATTTAAGCCCAGCTATCCACACAAATATACGGGTTTAACCGTACGCTTCTCAATTCAAAAACACCAAACTAACTACTCTAGCCATAAGCTTGAGCTACCTGTTTTTATAAACCTTCATAAATACAGTAAGTTTAACCCGTATTCGTCTTTTTATTTAAAGACTAAAACCAAAAAAAAAAAAGATCTGCCTGTTTCCATACATTTGTACAGAGGTTCAACCATGTACCTCTTTATTCCAAAACCAAAACTTAAACAAAATTTTGGAAATTACTTTGAACACTCTCACCTTTGATTGGGATGGGCATTTTTTCAATAAAAAGCTGAAGCTCATTTGGATCAGCATCTTTTAGTTGAACAGTTTGTCCTTCGTGACCCCACCAGTCTTTTAGCTCTTTAATTGTAACTGTATCCTTGGTGACCTTCATTGTAGTTTCAGGCATAATTACAAACTGAAAAACGTAAGGAGAGGTAGTATTGGATTACTTCCTTGAAATACGTACTGTAGTCGATTAATAGAGATAAATCAATACATTTAGAGGTCAATTAACTGCATATTACACCGATATCCGGCAGTATAATCGTCATCCGCGATCAAAATTCACCTAAAGTGTTGCGCAAAGTACAGCACAGCTTCCTTAGTTTCCTCAACAACATGGCTTAATTACAGTACAGAGTAACCGTTGAATGTTAATCGTTAACAAACATTGCGCAATTTTTACAAACCTCTATAAAAAGCGGACACTTGGGAAGGTCCCGAAGGTGTCCGCCTAATACTAGGGGGGGTGGGTACTTGGCTAAATTTTTGCTGGATATGTGCCGCTGGCCTCTCAGAGCCCTTACCCCATTATAGTCTATTCTGTGACCAATTATAGAAAATGTGCCCCCCCATTCGAGTAACTCTATTTCGACCCCTCTAAAGTCAGTCCACTTGTGAAAATGCGACCCCATCCAGCGGCACATTCCTATTAGCCTCTTATAAGGAAGTAACCCTTCCCTCCCGGAGCTTACCTCCTCACGGAACTTTATGATAAAGTAACACAATCTTCCAAATTATAAATAGCAATCACATGATTTATACGATAACATAACGCTGTTTTTATATCTCATAGCAACCTTATTTTCGCCTTTTTGCCAGTTGTTGTAATCTAACGGTCAATCGTTGATATTACCCGATGAGTGTGGTCATCTTTTGGCCACACGAAACAGAGCTGTAGTAATAAAACGATGCACTACCTCTGAAGTCTTGAACCAGTTAATTATAATTGTATTGTTAAATTATATATTTAAAACCCTTTCACTCCTAGAGTCATGGATCTATAAAATTTAGTTCTAACTCTTGAGCCCCTGGACGAAACCCCTTTATCAGTACTCTCACATGCTACTATTTGTTTTCAGTATTGGACGAAATGAAATTTCGACTTCTCTGTTGATAACGTTTTGATTTTGCTGATTTTGTCAGTGCAATCTCGGAAGTGAAAGAGGAAAAACATCAATAACTCACATACCATCTCGTCATGCCCTGCTATCCTACTGGTATATAAAATGCGGCAATCGTTGAACATCGCACGAAACCAAAGTTGTAGCTCTCCTTCTCCATCCTTCTTACCGCGCAATGAGACGGTACCAAGTACAACACAAAGCTGTGTATAGCCCAACTGACTGACCCAACTGAGCCAATCCATTTTGTTTATTGGAAGTGCACCTCATCCCCAGGCTCTCACCCTACTGAAAATCGCAGCCGCCGTAAGGACGGTATGGACTGGATTTGTGCGCTGAGGCGTTTTTCATTTTATTTCGTTCATTTGTTTTTATTTACCATTTTGTGAAAACTCAGACTAGATCAACAAAATGCACATTCAAAGTGACTTTTTTCCTGCATCTGTTTAAAATGCTTCGCGCTGGAGCAAAGTTTACATATTAGTTGACATAGCACCGCCTACTCTGCATATTTCAAACACTGAGAACTTTTTAAAGTAAACTTTAAAAAACATTGGTCCAAGACACGTGAAATGGGTTTATAGAAATCATACTCCAAAGAAATTCTGTGACTGAAAACCGATCAGATACCAAAAAGCTGCTGCAGCCCACAGGTTTGAAGAATAATCTAGGACGGGGAATTTACCCGCCAACCACAGTTTCTCTTTCATTTCTAAAACACGTGATGTCAAGTCTGGGGTCAGTGATCCTCTTAAACCTGTCAGACCAGGTTTACTTTTTGCAGGTATTCTCTTTTGTAGTTTGCTCGTTTCGCTTAAGTCACGGTTAAAATGGTCTACGGTGCAAGCGAAAGAAAAAAATACCGGGTAAATATCCTCGTGTGAAGCTTACACTGTGTCAGGGAAGGATGGAGAGGGATTAGAAAAAAAAAACAAAAACATTTTATACAGGCTGAATTGCCTGAAAAATTCAAGCGAAAAAAAAAGAAATAGAAGAAGAAAAACACCGTCCAGAGAAACTTTTCCCGTTTTAGTTGGCCATTAAAAGTAAAAAGAGGATCTGCTAGGAGACCAGCCACTGCATGGTTTTATTCGACCCCTTATACCATTCTCAAACATTCTTTTTATTTTTAGCATCGAAGCACAAAATATTGTCGTTCAGTCCTGAACAACTTGAGTGATGCCACAAACTACAAGTTTACTCCGCTACGAGGCGATACCCATACATCCCCTTCCCCCCCGTTATTTTCAAGTTTTTTTTCCTTTTGTCTTTTAAAACGTGCTTTTTCCTTGCTTATGTTGTCTTCAATGATAACAAGCTTGTGTGTTTCACGCCGGGTATGTTTTTTTTTTTAATGATTTGAATATTTGATAGTTTCCCTCAAAGTAGAATTACGCAGAATACATATAAAAAGTCAATTGCACTTTAATACCAGCCATATATAAGGCGAGAATTTACCCACGGAAAAAATATTAATGAAAATTGACCTTAACATCAATTTATTAAATTCTCAGAAAGCCGGAAATTGCGATTCTGAGAATTTAGTCTTCCGCATTTTTTCTACACAACCAGCGAATCCCCAGAAAAGACAAATAGAAATTAATCAGAATATGTTGATTTTCCGCCAACTGAATAAACTGAAAAAAAGATTGCCATAACTATTTTGGTTAACATCTTTACTATTAACATATGGTGTTCTTTATTCTCAATATTTAAAGAGTAAAATTGAACCAATTCAGTGGTTGTTTTAATTGTAAATTGTGCGTGCTGTTGCAAACCAGTCGGCAGTAAATAAACACAAGCCTCATTGTTCTCGCGAAAATCAAATTGAGACGTATTTATTACAACTTGATGACAAGTAAAGACCGGTAAACGCATTTGTATTGCAAATCCGTGTCATACGAAAAGGATTATAACGTGTTGCTCGCATACAGCCTGAGGTGCTCCAAAAGTCCCATACATTGCTGTAACAACGTTACAGTAAATTGTATGGGACTCTCCACGATACTTACAGTTCAGGCGATTTGTGTTGCTCCGATGAAAATTAAAACTACTCAGTTTCCTGGTGGATTCCGTCTAAAACTCAATTCTTAGTTGATAAACTATGCTATCCTTAAGGCAATCCTGTCTCCTCTAAATGATCTACTTTATTTGGGGCTGAAATGGAGTCTCGTATTAAAATCTCGACTCTCCGAAGGAGAAGCACAAATTTGATTTCAAATCGCATTCACTTTCTCATATTGGATGAAATGCTGTACAGGGCAGCACAGAAAGGGTAGTATGATACACATATTGACCTTTACGGGTATCGAGGGACGGGAGGTTATATTGATAGAACTATGCTGCCTTACTGAAATTATTCAAAGGGACACATAGTTTGTTCGACATTTTAGGACGATCAAAATATCGCAGCGATACACTTGAGGAGTCCACGGTGATGCAATATATCCAGGGCTGAGCTAACAGAACCCTATAAACTGTATTTTTGATTAACTGAAGGCTAACTGCACTTCTTTTGTGTTCTACTCAACTCTGCTCTGCTCAGCTCAGCTTAGCTTTCTGTTTCGAATATTCTCAGCCCTACTCTTATGTAATCTTCTCTTCCTGCGCAGTGGTGAGATCACTCCTCTCCCACCAATGTGGCCCGGGTCCAAATCCCGGTGTCGCCGCCATTTGTGAGTTAAGTTTGTTGTTGTCTCTCCTTTGCTCCGAGATCCTCCTAGAGGTTTTTCTATGCATCTACGTGCATAAGCATGCATGATCTATGAAAGGACAAAAGGCAAATTCCCTGGAGAACATCACGTGGTGTGAATTAATAAAACAAACCATACAAATGCAAGCTAAATATAGCCTGTACAGAAGGTGCTTGGAGACAATGGGCGCCTGCTACGCAACCTAAGCTGGACTAGGGTCTGTTTGAATCTACGTAACGTTATCCTGAATAAGCGTAAGGTAACAAATATAACACATTAGCGAAAAATGTAAAGTTTTCAATCTCTTCAAAGGTATAATAATATGTAGCAAAAATGAAGAAAATAAGTAATGATAACGATCACGATATTGATGATGATGATAACGATAGTAAAAGTAAAATCCAGTTAAAACAGAAGAGTAAGCTCAGATGATTAAGCTGCATGTTCAATGTTGGTTTCTCCCTCCTAATATAATTATGAGAAATTTATATTTGTTGACTGGAAAGACGAACGTGTCTATTTTCCACAATAACGACTATTGATCACCACAGAAAATGCCATAACATACCCATAATGCACTTTGTTTGTCATCCCAAAGTTTTGCAGAAGCATTGATTTCAGTGTCTTTTAGGGCCATTTGAACTCCCAAGGGATTGAATTTAAGAGAGGAAATGGCTTTCCTCGGGAACAAAGAAAACTGTCCGTAATTAACGATGGGTGTCCGTACAGCGGGGCTCGAGTGACATAAAATGTATTTTACCTTTAAAGGTTTCTCTACAATTACACTAAATCGCATTCAAGGTAAAGGAAGAAGTAAAGGAAGGTCATGTAGAAACTTAATGTGTACTTACCATTTTCGTGGACATCGTCGTAGTCATAACCGAACTCGAAAGACTTCTTAAACATCCGTTGATGAGTATACACAGGATAAAGTAGTACAATGACGTCATCTTTGTTGTGTCCGATGGGTGAATTGTAGGTTGAAGGAACCGAAGCGTTCTTGTTGAACTTGTGAAGCCATTTCTCATAGATACGATCCACAAAGGAATGATGAAGAGGGAAGATGGGGTTGTTTGACGCAGAAGATACATCCCACGACTATGTGAACCTGGTTATGTCAAAAGGTCTGGACATTTGGCAAACGATAACCGGTCTTTGTACTGGCGTATCCTTTCAGGATACTTTTAGAATTGCACCTTGACTCTTTGCCATAGGGTGGCAGGTCAAAAGTTTCAAACCGGAGAGCAAATTAAAGTTGACTTCTTCTTTGGTTGGAAATGTCATTGTACATCTCTGTTTTCTTACTTTTTCTTCCTTTTCCTCCTTAGTGCGTGATCTCTTCCAAAACAGGTTTCTTTTTTGTTGCGTGGTCACACATCTTTGTCGGGAAATGGGTTTGCTCACTGGTGCAAATGACGTACCAGTTGCCAAAATAGTTGCCCTTCACAGTTCCACCAGCTTGGTTCGTTACACCAAGACGCTCTTCAGAGCAAATAGCTGGCTCACATTGTGTTTCAAACTTTCCTAAAAAGACATAGCAAAGTTTTCATCATTACCGATTCCTGCAAGGTTCTCTCCCAAGTCAACATGTACAGTCGATACCACTATTTATCAGACACAGGTCCGAATGTTTTTTAAAGCTCACTCCTTAAAGGCATTTGAACAACCACTAATTTTCAGAAACAGGTCTGAATCGAAACACTTGGGACCATATTCATATATGATAAACACGGTTTCAGACGGGTTTTTTAGTAATACGCTGTAAAAAGTTATTTTCTCATTAGCATTAGGTTGGATTGATGTGATATACAGTACAAGAAGAAGTACAAGTAGACGCTGCAGTAACATGCTTAACATCTTTAGTTGGTTCTGTCAGTAAAAACTCTTTGCAATCTTCAGCGTCCTTTATTTTTGTCGACACATACGGAATCCATATCAAGCTAAACCAAGCGACATTCATTTGAAAAAACGCAAGTTAAAATGTACCAGTTTTGTCTCTTAACAATTATTTACAAGTTAGTCCTGTAATTAACTGCAGACACGCAGTGTTTTAGTCACTGAAGACTACCGGTAGCTTTTATCCTCACCGTGACATTTCCACGTTCAAACTTAATCCACTGTAGGACCACACAATTCTTAGAAACGGGTAAACTTCCGCATTGTCTTCGGGATTTCCTTACTAAATATAGGCTACGTATTTTGCATACGCTGGAGATAGGTTAGACTGTTTTAAAACAACTTCTTAATTTGCAAAGATCAATGTATTGCTTTTAACTTTGTTCAGAAATTCTAAAAGGCAAATTTTTTCTGTCTTGATGAAATGAGATAGCAAACACGTTCGGCAAAAACACTTCCGCTTTTACGTACCACCAATATGCCGAGTCTTGCCAAAACACAACGCACAACGACCATCAAAAGAAGGAAGAGATTGAACCTTCATATGAATCGAACAGAAAGCACTGCCAGGTTTGCAAAACTGCCTTCATATTTACATTCATAAACGTCATGATCGTTCTTTCCGAGAATTGTTTTCTGTGTATCAGCAGATGTCT